TAGTTACTGATACAAATTCCCCTGAGGGTGTTCATCAAACACAAGTGTGGTAGGCACTGCGGCTACAGCCCAGCGCTTGCGAAGTCCAGCAAACACTTCAGCTGCGGGGAGGACCCAGTGCATGGCCAGAATGTGCGCCAGCACTCGTGGGCAAATATCTTGAACAGCATGGTACGGTTCTGGTGGTTTTTGTATATCGAGGGAAGTCACACACCACCAAGACGCCACACCCAAACAGTTAAGTCAGAAAATATGTTCGGCACAAAGTATTCGTGCTGGCCAGGAAGCCAGCTCCTTTCTTGACCGGCCTCCAGGGACAGCAAGGAAAGCAGTCCAGGTGACGTTGCGATGTCCTCGAAGGACCCCACTTGTGTTTATCAGACACGACACGACACAGTCATGTCCTTGCGAAGGTCATCTGCCCTAAAGTCGGAAGACCTTCATGAGAGATGTATGCAGAATACAAAAAGGTGAAACAATGAGAGCCCCTCAGCTCGGAACAGGTTTGGCTTAGTGGCATTCGACAGAACCAAGACTGTCTGCAACAGCAGGACTTCACACTCCTGCGACAAAGCTTTCATGGCTTCCAGGAAAGCAGTTTGTTGAGATTCTTTTCAAGATCATCCTCATCCAGGCAGCTTGTGGCTACCTGTTACATCAGCACATGCCCTCATGCCAAACACTGTTGATGACACCCTGAAAAATTACGAGCGCCTTTGTCTCAGTCTGCTGCGCAATGACTAAACCAACAAACACCTAGGTCCGTGCAGAGATGGTGGCTCGATGCAGACTTCGTGCTCACTGACACGGACAAGCAACCAAGAAGAAGCAACGTCCCATCCGACCATTCGACCTTGGACATAGCTGCTGCCCCCTCTTCGTGGACAGGCGTCGCAAGTCTCAGAGCCAGACTTTCTTGTTTTAGGCTCCAAACGGTACGGTAGTCAGAACAGGGCAAACCCTATCATCTGAGAGGAAGCGGCCAAATGGTACAGGCTGTTGAGATCAAGTACCTCTGCCTGCAAATCAGAAAAGCTTTGGGAGGATGTTTTCCAAGCGTGGCCGATCCTCCCTGGTTTCTCACATATGCGGTCAGGGAAAAACTGTTTCTGGCAACCCACGCCCTCAATGGCCTTTGTGCCTAAAAAAAAATCCCCTAAAGAGTGTAACTGACAATGCACCCAGCAAATCTTCACAGAGCAGGTTGAAGCAGCTCATCGTTGGCCCGGGACTTGGACTCGGAGCGCTCAGTGAATCTCGGCCAGCAGAGACGTTGCTCAATCAATGCGGTGCGGCAGCTCTGAATATACAGAAACCATGACAGGTTTTCCAAGAATCTCCCAAGAAAGAACCTATGACCTGCATTGAAAGGTAGGATAAGTTGCCAATCCGTTGCGAAACATGTTCCAGAGGGTAACTGCTTCTGCAGCCCTTGTGTTCAACAATCTTTGCGTGAAAGCCAACAGCTACTTTTAGAAAGGGCAGCTAGAAACAACTCCTGCCCACTTTACAGACTACCTCTGGACGGAGCAGGCTTCAGCGTCTCTTGGTCGTCTGCCAAGTGTGACGCCTTAGGCGTCACCTACCCAGAGCCAGTCATTAGCAACACGCAGGCTTTGGCTTTTTCAGTCCTGGCAGGGCTGACTGTTGTCATGGATCTTCAGGTCAGATTTGAATGTCTTCCCTTCCTGTTACACTGCTCCAATAGCACATTTTTCTCCGCTGAGAACCATAAAGAATCTCGTATCCACCTTAACATTCAATGCAAACCCTTCGTTTACCCAAAACCCCGCGCAAACCACCTGGCAGCTTCTGCGTTCCAACGACAAGATGCAAGAAAACCTTCAGTTTCGGTGGGTCCACCGAATCTCAACAGGGTAGCTCAGCGGCTCAACTGTTGATGCAACAGCCACAAAAATCGGATGAACCACCAAAACCAGCCAGAGACTCTTCCAAAACTGCCCTACTGCCCTCCTCACAGTCAGCATCATTAAATCAGAGCAACTTGATTGCCAGACTGCCCAAGGATCTCAAGGCAAAGCTGCTACTTGCCGCTGCGGCCTGGAGTGAAAGTTTCCTCCATCTGATCCTGAAGGTCGCGTACGGTTTCCTCGACAGCTCCAGGAATCCCTCCTGCATAACGATCTGCACTGCAAGATCAGCTCACAAATCAAGAAAGATTCTGCCCTCGAAATGGCAGAAAAGAACCGCACACTTTTCTTAACTCAAAATGCATCCAGCTCCTGCAGGAACTCGAGTGCCTCGCGTGTCCCTCGCAGAGCTCTGATGCAGCAGGGCAATGCAAACAGACAACACCTCAGAGCAGTGGCTGGTGTTGCTGCAAGTATGTCTACAATGTTGAACTAGGGCTAGGGTGATCTGAGCCCGGAGCGATGATGGCAGCTATCCTTGAGAGAGCACACCGCTGAGCCGACTGCGCCGCAACTGAAGTATGAGGCACAGGCATGCAAGCAGTAAACATCATGCCTTCCTTTGTAGGAACTTGATGACCTGCAGACAAAAATGTCATCCGCGAAAACTATCTGTCAACATGGGGTGACGGTTGGACACTCTCAGAATAAGCAAGACTCCTGCTATGTAGAATAATGTCTGGCCTGTAACTTCTTCTACAACTCTGCATAATGAGACACCTCGGCTGGAAAAGACTCTCTCCCCAGCAAAGCAGCTGCATAGCATGGTAAGCTATGCAGGCGCAAAGCCATAAGGAGGAGACTCAGCAATGACAGCGGCCATGGTTGTCCTGAAATCAGAGCCACTCTCGGGACCTCTTAGGGAGCAACACATGCCGTTGCATAACAGGCGCCATGTGACAGGGAGAAAATTGTTCCACACCTGCCGGCATCACCACAGTGTGGTTCGTGTCGGCCTTCAGTGAATCCCAGCGCCAGTGTGTTGGGTACATCCCCTTAAGTGATCCAAATATCACCCATGATCAAGCCTGTGCCACAGCTCTCTGCGCACCCCTACGTGCCTACGTGATACAAAGGTCACAGCCCTCGGTCCGTGGCCAGCACTTGCGGGATGGCAGACCCGTTAACTGCCACGTGACAATCCGCGTAAGATATCACCCAGCCATATTAAGATGACCGAACCTGGCGGACTTGAGCGCTTCCGGGCACTTGACTTTGAGGCTTCGCCTTGTCCAGCAACCTGGAGGCGAAGCCAAAGGAACTCTCTGAATCTTTCTGACACTCACGCCCAAGCGCTGTACCCTCTTCTTGCCACTCACCTGGCCAAACTCGAACCAGGCACATCATTGCTCTGTGATCAATATCCGAGCATCTGAAGGGACCTGCAGAAGAGAGAAGACGCTATCATCAGCCGGCAAGGCCGAGAAAGACGAAGACACCTCAGCCACGGTAGGATTGAACAACAAGAGTTTTGCAGGTCCACAAAATTGACGATAGTTTGGTGACATGATAAGCAGGCTTATTGTCGCTTTTGCTTCCTGACGATGCTACATCCAGCTTTTGTGCGTCTTCCTCTAGTAAGTCTAGAAGTTCTCAAGCTTTGGAAGCACGTTGGGATTGAGAAGTTGTTTGTTTTCTGCGAAGCAATGTGAGGCTTGGAGATGAGGCTCTGTGACTGCGTTGCCTGATTCGATCATCCCCTATAGCTTTCATCAGCATCCTTTTTGCACTCCATCCTATATGCACTCGGGCTGCACCCCTTTCTGCAGGGTGGGCCGCTGGGACAGCCTGCTTGTGTCAAGTAAGCCCCCTTCTTCCGGCGGCCTTTTATACAAAACAAGCACTCTCAACATTGAAGTTATCTATGGAGGTCTTCCGGAAGTCTCTAGCATAATCCTGCCATATGATCAAGTCTCTCCCGAGTTCCAACATTAAATGGGAAACTTACCTTTCATTCTACTAGTCCGAAAGGATGTTGCTCATAAATCTTACTCGTTCACATGCATGTGTCTGTAAATTGTACTTTTCTGCATCAGGCATCCATAGGGAACATTTTATGTAAAATGAGATTACTTCTGCAGTTGCAAGCAAATACAAGGAAATTTCTTTACGTGGGCCTCCAGCCCCTGTCCAACGGTGCGAAACTTATTTTGACAGGTGGAATTCTCACGGATCCTACTCTTATGCAGTCAGTGCCCCAACTGTTGGCCTGCAGGTTGTGCTAAGAGGTTTCCTCAGAATTCCTGCCATGTTATGTAACATCACCACTGTTAGTCTTATTACAAATATCTTGTTCATGAGTATATGCCTGCTAGACCAGCTGAAATATCTTCCATTTTACATGAATTCCCCTGTAGATCTCTTGGAACTATGCTTACATAATAGAGATTTGCGTAGAATACTTGAACTTTGAAGCGGAATCCCCTTGATTACGAAATTCCTTCCGCGCAAGGATGTACTTGGAAGACTCCAAGTAGAATGGCGCAGCTTCTAGGGCACACATAATATATAAAAAACATGAGAACTAGAGAAGGACTGTGAGGATTTTCAATTGGGCAACTTCATAGACATTACAAACTGGAGAGCCTCAAAGCCTGGGAGGACTTTTCGGGGACCCTCATGCAAACCTCACCGCATATACAACACTGGATTTATTTGTGAACCTCCACTACTACCCTAATTGAAAGATGACTTGGAGTGAAGTTACGATCTACAACCCAGAATGTGAGAGAAAAAAAAGTTGAGATGTCACGCAAAATGA